GGCAGTGTGCTACGAGGAAATGGGATTTTAAGACAGTTCCAAAAGAGCAAAGATGCATTTTTTTGCTCTAAGAGGGAATCTGATCAATTAATAAACTGATTTACATTATTGGAGACCTTCTGCTCCAATGCTACGTTCAGACCGATGCAGCAGGAGCAGCAAAAACGCGCGTGCTGCTTCATTTCTGATGCTTCTACAGTTTAGTTCTGACGTGCAGCTGAAGCATCTCTGCTGCTCTGTGGGCGGAGCTACCCTATCCTATCCTTTCTTTGCCTGGAACAATGGCAGCTATATTTACTGTGATCAGCGGGTAAAAAGTAGTTTGAGTACACTTCATTTAAGAAACTTTTTAATTATTCCTAGATCGTTTTTCTAGTGAGAATAGATTTACCCACCGACCTTCCCTCCCTGCCGACCGTCTGGGATTCTCTGAGCAGTGAACTTGTTTTCCAGGCTGAAGACTGTCGACGTGGTGATCCGGAACACTAACGATGCTGAGGACTCGCTGAAGAACTACGAGACCCGTCTGCGGGACGTCAGCAAGGTTCCTGCCGATGAGAAGGAGGTGGAGGAGCGGCGCAGCCAGCTGAAGGTAGCCGTCGGCTGGCTGAGGAACGCCGTCTGTTCACGCCTCCCAATGACCGCCTCCCTCTCTTCCCTGAGCAGGCGATGCGGACTGAAGCCGAGGCCGACCAGGCCGTCTTCGACCGGCTGCAGGACGAGCTCCGCAGGGCGACGGCCATCAGCGACAAGATGAGCAGGATCCACGGCGAGCGCGACGGCGAGCTGGATCACTACCGGCAGCTGGTGAGCGGCCTCCTGGAGCGCTGGCAGGCTCTGTTCGCTCAGATCGACCTGCGGCTGCGGGAACTGGACCTCCTGGGGCGCCGGATGAGGAGCTACAGGGAGAGCTACGAGTGGCTGATCCGATGGCTGGGAGAGGCGCGGCAGCGGCAGGAGAAGATCCAGTCTGTGCCCATCGGAGACGGGAAGGCTCTCAGGGAGCAGCTGGCAGAGGAGAAGGTAGTGAGCTTACCTAACTGACGGCCTGTGATGTTCTGTGGAGGTCCGATCGGAGCCTAACGTCAGTCTGTTGGTTCTTCCAGAAACTCTTGGAGGAAATTGAGAAAAATGAAAAAGAAGTCCAAAGCTGTCAGAAAAATGCCAAAGCGTACATCGATTCAGTGAAGGTAACAGCTGAGAGCTGCAGGTTTCCATGGGAACCAGGGTTCTTTCAGGTTCTGACGGGTTTGGACTCTGTGTTCTGAAGGATTACGAGCTGCTGGTCCTGACCTACCGAGCTCTGCAGGATCCCATGGCTTCTCCTCTGAAGAAACCCAGGATGGAGTGTGCTTCAGACGACATCATCCAGGAGGTTCGCAACCCCTCCTCCAGCTGCACCCTTCACACCTGCGCTGCAGTGGCCGCCATACCTCCTCCTCATCCTCCTCATCCTCATTCCAGTTACCACATAAACTGATCTTTACTGACGATTTGAATTTGATTTTAATGCTTTATGTTCCCACAGATTGAATAAATGGGAACTTTAGACAAACAGTAAAAAATAAAAAGAATAATAATTTGAAAAAATGAACTTACGTGAAAACAGATACGTTTTTCATTTCTAGACTGCTTTTTTTTTTTTTTTTTTTTTTTCCAGTGACAGAAAATGTTCTTTGCAACAATAATGGAAAAAAATGACTCCATAATCTTAGGGCCTAAAATGTAGAAATGAACAAAAATACTGAAACTGATGAGAGATTAAATGTTTTCCTCGGTCCTTTCTGGAAGGTCAAATCGTTGCTTTTGTTCCTGATGGATCCGATGTGTTTTCTCCAACCAGGCGAGCAGGACGAGTCGGTGTGTAAGACCTACCTGACAAAGATCAAAGACCTCCGTTTGAGGCTGGAGGGCTGCGAGAACCGTACGGTGACGCGTCTGCGGCAGCCGCTGGACAAGGAACCGCTGAAAGCCTGCGCCGCCAAGACCACGGAGCAGATGGTATCAGCAGAGCCGAGCAGCAGGTTCTGGAGGATTCTGTTCCTCTCCAACTGTCCTGTTTCTGTGTCTCCATGACAGAAGGTCCAGTCGGAGCTGGAGGGCCTGAAGAAGGACCTCGGCTCCATCGCTGAGAAGACGGAGGAGGTCCTGGCGTCTCCTCAGCAGTCCAGCTCTGCTCCGATGCTGCGCTCCGAGCTGGACGTCACCCTGAAGAAGATGGAGCACGTCTACGGACTGTCCACCGTCTACCTGGACAAGTTAGTGCTTCTTTAACCCCTTCAGTCCAGAAGGTCTTAGGAGCAAATTCCACCTGAAATTACATGTGAATTAATTTAAGAGCAGCTCCCAAACTATACATTAGAAATACAATAGTTAGT